GAATGGTAAAATGTACTGCTAACCGCTTGGATATCACGACCACCAAACCATCCACCATTTTTAACTTTCGCTTTGAAATATTTTATTTACTTTTAACTCCTTCACTTGGACTTTTTTTAATTGATTGAGATATAAAATATTTGCTTTAAATATGTGTATTTTTATTAGCTATGAATACGTGTGTTTTAATTAAAAATAAAATAAAGTTATATAAGCTTTGTCATATTGAAATTTTAATTAATTTAATTGAATTTTATGTATATTTTAAACAATATTTTTAAGCAATGAAAATTTGTTTTAAATCTATAATCAATTGAATTTACTTTAGGGGTAAAGCCACTCTAGCCTTCTCCCATATACCTACAATAAGTCTTAAAAAATGAGTATATTTTTCGACCTCTAGAGTGGCTTTACCCCTCAAGCAGCTAAGTAGTGGTTGCTATAATTTTTGTTTTCTTTTGAAACGTTCTAGATGTTAAGCACATTAAATCTTAAATTCTATTAGATCGATTAATTGGTTTTTTTCTTTGACAGGGTCACTGGGTTATACGCTCCTAAATTGCCTTTTTTATGCCAGCTTCTTATTCCTACGTAATTACTGGGGAAGGCAACCGAAAATGCAAAAAATATGAGCCTGAGGTCTGTTCGACTATTTTATCACTAAGGACCTTCGCACCATTTACCTAGGTAGCTATATAACTTTTATAAAAAGGCGGAGAAAAGAAGTCTTTGATGTAACTATTTGTATTAATCATGTAATGTAATCTTTTTGTGATCGTGGACACATTGACTTCAAGCTAATTACCGAGGACTCTCAGATATCTTGCAATGGTCAATAAAGAAATTAACAGTAAACGAAGAGTTGAGTCCCATATCGGAAATCGGCGTAATTGCTGAAAAAATTACAAAAAGATCGTTGATTCATATGGTGTGTCTGTGGCACCGAGAATAAAAAATTAGTTTCAAATATTCGCAGATGGCTTAATTAATATTTAATTGAATACTCATTTTCCGCAACATTACGTCTTGAGCTCCTAATCCTCCTAGTAATGTAGACGTTGCGAGGAACTCTTTTTCAACGCTGAAATGATGTCAAGATCTTTTAAAAACTTCAAGTCGTAAAAAGCTACCGGTACCAATGGAATTTTTTCTCCCTTGCTGCAAATAGGTCACACTTCAGAAAGCAGATGTGAGGGCGGAGTAAAAAACCAGCTATTGTTCTAATAATTTGAAATTCATTATTTGCTGGACCGATTTGATTGAAAACATACTGAGGATATATAATATATTTTAACGGAAATGTAATTATCTTGTTGTCTCTGCGGATTAAATAAATCCATGTAATGCACTTTCTGGCTAGCGCTGTTCCAGAATTGTTTCTAAAAATATTTTACAATAGGAGAAGGATAGATTTAAATAAAAGACAAGAGTAAATATTTCTAATATGAATAACATTTTAGATGATTAAATATGATTGTCAAAATGAATAGAGGAAATAAGTTTATTTTTAATCACTTTTCCCAAATTTGAGGAGTCAAAAAGAACGATTTAAGTATTAAAAACTCAGAATATTAACCTAATGGTTTTAATAAACGCGATCATAGTAATTTTATTAGGAAATCACTGATGTTTGGGAAGCATCATGTCATCTATTTTTGCCAGCGCGTATATGTGTATATATAAATAATATTTACTACCACGATTTCAAGGGGTTGGCATGTGAAAAGTTGATAATTGAAATTATAAAAATAGCAGCTGCACGTAAATGAAAAATACAATAAAAAAGTATATGCTAAAATTGCTTCAAATTGTAGACCAAGCCAGAGGCAGCAAAATAATAGTTGTAATGAGCATTATTTAGTGGCTTACCTGCGAGCCAAAAGTTGCATCTTTCAACGCTTGTCATGTCAGTTATGTAGTCGTAATCTCAGTCAATGTAAGAATCAAAGTGATCCGTTCGTCCGCAATCGTACGGTAACAAAAGCAAGTGGTATCCATACATATGGTTATGGCCGACACCTATGCCCTTTGTGTGTTTCAAGGTAATAAAGTTTTATCATCAAAACATGATCGAATGCTGGCAATCAAAATCCATCAACATGTATAAATTTCTATGTAATCGATATGGTTTTTGAGTCACGCACACACGTGCTTTCAAAGATAATTTGACTTGGCCATGTCTTCTTGTGTATTTGGCATAGATTAAAAGCAAATAGGCGATCTTCAGATAATCAGAAGTTTGTATACCACTCGAAAGGGGATATTAAATTGAAGGTGATGTTGGACTGATCATTTTTAATTTAATCAAAGAAAACCAAGCGGAGAAAGGCAAGTTGAGTGACATTTAAACTTATTCATTCATTCAAGTTAAAATAAAAGGATGATTTAAAATCGATTAGCTATAATATTTTCTAAAGAATTTATAAAATACTATTTTCCTCATAGTCGCTGGATGAAGCCCGTGAATTCTTTTCGACCTGATGCAACATTATGCAGCTTGTACAGATAAATAGAAGTAAGCTGCGATTACGAGAAGTATAACAAAAAAGTGAAAGATCAAAATTAACATTAATAGTAGCAAATCTGTTTCATTGCCTGATGTGCAAAGCAGTCTAAATGACTATAACGACTAGACATTGGGTAGCTACATTACTATATACGTATGAATATGACTGAGTAACAATTGGACTATCTGTCTGGCCACATGTCGAACTGTTCGGTTTATTCTAGATGCAACAGCTGAACTGATTAATGGCTGCATGAATAAATGGAATTAAAAAGATAGAATGTTGATGTGCTTCGGCGGTTCACTGACATGATGCTATGGCTACAAATCATCATTTTTGCAAAAAAGTCGAAGTGAAATAAGTGAGTGTTTTGGTTGCAAGAAGATTAAAAGGTCACATTTTTCATCACTTTTGCAGCAATACCGCGCCATTTATTCTCTTCCATTCTACGTAGCCAAGTGACTTCGCACAACGCCACAAAAAATATTATAGCGGTGTTAAATTGTACAAACGTGGACTTAAAGCCTCAGGCTTTCGGCGCAAGATATTACGCGCACCAAAAATTTCCTTAAAAAAATAATTGTTTCATTATCTGCGTGGCTTTGGGTAACCAAAAAGTGACTTTTTAAGGATGTAACGGCGTTTCATTATGAATTGGCAAGCCAAATTGAGTATAAATCAATAAAAGTTGATCAAAATACCCAATCCGAAAAAAGTATTGTATCATTGCAAGCCATATGTCTAAAAACACCCTTTACGCTATTTCTAAAGCAGCTGAGCATAAGCATTATAGGTACAATCTTTTTCTCGTTGTATAAGCTTTGGGGGTAGGAGGGAATGATGTTAGGACTAGGGTAGGTGGTGTTAAATAATACTTGAATGTATTCAACGAACGAACTTTAAGTTCTTAATTAAGCTAGGTGTTGAACTCTATAAGAAAAATTAGAGGTGGTGCGGAGTCACCACTTTTCATTTTACAATAAGAATTTTTTGGGTGGAGCCCCGGCTGAGAAATTTGGAGTTGGTCAGTCCCTTTGCTTCGAGAGGAATTTATTTGAACGCTTTGGCTCGTAAAAACTTGTGAAACAAGGGGGTTCTCCATACGGTTTGGTACGTTAAGCTTACATCGCTTATGAACTGGTGTTTTTTAGCAGTTCCTGGTGGTGTTAAATGTTTAATCAAGCAAACATGCAAGGTGTCGAGCGTCTTAGCAGGCATCCTGAGTTTGGTATCTAATAGACACTTTTAATTTATTGTTTCACTGTGCACCTGAGAATTGCACTTATGCAATTATGCAAAAGTACATCAAACGGCAGGAAGCTAGAAGTTAAAGGCTGAAAGTATGCTGGGAGAATTAAACACTTTTTGAACTATAAGCCAATTGATAGACTTGAGATTTGTATATATTAAGAAAATTTGTTTATGCGAAAAGCTTTACATTAAAGCATATTTGGTACAAAAAATACATCCTTTGCACTGACACTCAAACTAAGTGTACCACTCAAAACACACTTCAGCTAAGAAGAGCGTAATCCACATCGATACATCAAACGCCCAGCTTCTATTCAAAAGTTGTTCATCCATGCAAAATGTTTTGCAAAATCATACTGAATCCAAGATAAATGCACACAATTTGCTTGTGGTACTCAGCTAACATCTTAACGGATGTCAAATATTTGAAAGCCACAAGTATTTCTTGCCCACGTTCTATGAATAGCTGAAAAACAAACTTTATGAGTGTGGCTTTGTATGTGCGTGAATGTTCAACATTTCTTATAAATTTTTATCCTTCTACCCATATTTTTTGTTCAATATATCTTCGTATTTATTTCCGTTTACTCATTCATGCCACGTAAGCTCCAGCTCAGCCAAGTCAACTGGTTCAGTTTAAAGTTGACAAATGTTTTGTGTGATTTTAATACTGTATACAAAAACACATACTCCTGTTCGTAAACATGTGGAAAAACAAAAAAAAATCCAAAATTCATTCAAATTTTCCAACGGAACAATTATCAGTTATAAGCTATAAATTACGTAAATGAAGACCATCATAGATTAATTTTTGCCATGAACTTTAGAATATATTTTGACGCGAAAACTTGGCTTTTATTGAAACAACTACATATGCTGGGCTTTAAAGAAACTTTTTGCGGCAGTGGAGAATACTTCTTTTGAATCGTCTCGAATATCTGGCACAACTCTTTTATGTATTATTTGAAACAAATTTTTTTTGACTGCTTGCTTTATTTATTTCCAATTCAAGGAACGTGAAGAAATCTATTCCAATTGCAGTAAATTTTTGTCTTAGTGTTTATTTATTTTAGGTACATTAAAAAATTCATTCAAATAAATTCGATTGAAGAGATCAACTTACTTCTGCCAACTTTTGTTTTTCTCCAAATATTTCCTTAATAGCATATATAAAGAATATATCGTTTGACGGTTTTCAAAATTTGTTTATAAGAATTTTATTCTAGGTGCCATAACTTTCAGATTAAATCAAATTAAAAACAAATAAAATTTTGTTTCAAAAGCTATTGAATAAGGTTTGATTTAAAAATCATTTCATGAATATATAACTGTTGATTTCCTTTTTTTTTATTTTGACACAATCAGATGAATGCGGCCTGTAATAAGATCATATGGTCACAAAAATGTGTAAACTTTAATCAAAATAACATTGTTGAGAAGAAAAAATTTAGGCAATACAACACAATTGACCGCAAGTCAACCTATTTAGGATTACTCAGAATTTATATTTGATGCTAAGGTGCGTTATAAATAAATTCGTTACATATTTTCATGTAATTAAACATATTACAACTTGCTTTAAAGAAGGTCAGTTTTCATACTGCAATCAGTTTATTTGCTCGCTTTGAATATTGAACTTTACCTTGTACAACATTTTTGGCCTTAGGGTCACCCTCAAACAGCATTCGTTTGCATGCCAATGAAGTACCAAAATTTGTTTGGCTTAATTCAAATATACAAAAAAAATATTTGAGCATCTTTTATCGTTTTTTTTCAAGTATTTTTTGTGGACAATGTTCAGAATAGTCATATACAAATAAAGTTAATTCGTCGGAAAATATATAATGTAGTTAGTAGGGTAATAAATACAATGAAATAGGGAGCTATTACTATTACTATTATAGTTATGCTGATTTGCTTAAAACATTATTGTTAATTTATTTCAAAAAGCATTCTAATAAAGGGAAAGCTTTTAATAAATTCTTCTTCTTTATTTGTGTTGGCACTGCTTACGCGATTATAGCCGAATCAATATTAGCAAGCCATTCATCCCTTTTTTGCGCTGTTTGGAGCCAGTTAGAAATACCAAGTGAGGCCAGGTCACTCTCAAACTGATCCTTCCAATGGAGTGGAGGTATTCCTCTTCCTCTGCTTCCACCGGCGGGTATTGCATCGAATACTTTCAAAGCTGGAGTATTCGCTTCGATTCGGATGACATGATCTAGCCAGCATAGTCGCTGTCTCTTCATTCGCTGAACTATATCAATATCATCGTACATGCTCGTACAGCTCATCGTTCCATCGTCTGCGGTATTCGTCATTGCCAACGCGCAAAGGACCACAAATCTTACGCAGAACCTTTCTCTCGAAGAGTCCTAACGCCGTCATATCAGATAATGTTATCGTCCACGCTTCTGCGCCATATAGTCTGACGGATATGATGAGCGACTTTAGAGTTTGGTTTTCGTTCGTCGAAACTGGATTTTTCATTTCAATTGCCTGATCAGTCCAAAGTACCTGCACTGGATTTCCAAGCAGACATTGTTGTTAGTGTTAATAATTTTATAAATAATTAAAGGTTTTTAGCAAAAAATATGAAAGAGAAAATCTTTTATTTTGAGTTAAATTCACCATAAATATTTATGTTTGCCTTTTCTCGGCCATTCCGATATTGGCAACATAAATTTTCTGCGTAGCGCTTTGAAAAATAAAGCCTGTTGTAAATCATCGCCACATCAGTACATATGTAAAAAAGCCAAAGGCTTTCCTTCGAAAAGCAAGTATCGCCAAGCCAGAGTTTAGGTGTTAAAGAAGGTAAAATTCCAAGCAGCGTCTGTTTTGTGGCTGCCAAGTAGAGGAGCAAATAATTAGCTTCTTCAATATAAATATATATTTAAGTACAATGATGATATAGCAGAGAAACCTTTCCGCAAACACATACACTTGCATATCCGAGCGTTTAAATCTATTATACACATACATGCTTGCAGACATTGGTGGCTGCGGTCTACCAACGTTATTATTTCGTCCAACTCTAGCTCAGTGGCCTCGATGTCACTGTCAATGTCACACTCTATTAAGGTATTTGGATGAGGGTTCACGGCACGTGCGAGTTGATACTGCGCAAATAAATATATGGTGTTATATATTAACGTGAGTACTTTGCCACTGACCATTATTGCCAGCTTAAACTGGTTGACACTATTAGTAAATTGATTAACTTACAACTTACAATAATCTGAGTAAGAAAGGTGTGTATTATATTTCCAAAACATACATATTTCCATTGACTGCAATCATTGGTATGAAATAAAATGAAGTCTTCATCTTAGATATTTTGAAAAAGAAGGAAAGGTGAAGTTTGAAAGAAAGATAAAGTTTTATTTCACAGATTGCTTAAAGTAACAAATTTCATAATATTCTTATTGCAGAAACACCAAAACTTCGTCAAGAAAGGTTAAATATTTTTGCATAATTTCAAGCACTGTACTCGTACTCTTTTCTATTTTAAACCAGATCCGGTTTTAATTTTATACTTTCAAAGAACACAATGAATACACAACTTAGAAAACAGATTGATTGTCAGAAAATTTGCTGAACGTAGAAACTTAAATGAAATTGCTTCTAATTTAACTCATCATGTACGAACTGCCTTTATAAAAAATTCCAACATGTATTTATATGTATACCAGAATACTTAGAGTAAGCTGCAGTGAACACGTACTTATGTTGCCCTGACGGTTTGAAATATTAAAGGCTTGAGTATGTACGTAACTCATGCATACAAGGACAACTTCATTTATGAGTAACTATGTTATACTGTTGGCAATTCACCAATAGCAAATAAATTAGAGCCATAATACTCACTTTTGATTGCGGCGACTCCTTATAAGTCTTATATGCTAGAATTAAAAAATTATTAATCTGCTTTCTGATAATTTATATAAAAATTGTATGAGTAAGTCTAAAATTCATAATTTTGCATACAATAATAGTTTAGCTTCTCCCTTTAGGCTAGTACACATGAAATCCGTATACACTTGCCAGAAAACCTATGTGTACACAATCAACACATAACTTTGATGGCAAAAAAGGTATAGTTGAATTAAAGATACCGACTTGGTTTGTTTTTTTTTATATAAACCAATTAATTACTATTAATATTCATAAGTTTTCTTTGTCTTAAATATATAATTTATACAATTAAAAATAAAAAAGTAAAAATTCATATGATTTAGCACAAGAAAAAGTATGCGTACAAATTAAAAAACATTTAAAAAGATACTTTATTGATAAAAATATAATAATTTAATAAGAAGTTGGATACCCCTTTCTTTTTATTGTTTGTCGATTGGACTAAGTTTTTGGTTACGTCCGGCGAGGTGTTATTCCATTCTTCCATAATCACTTCCCTAAACATATTTTTTCAAGTAATTGCTCGTAGATGGATCCTGCGCTCGTGAAAATCCCATAGATGCTCTATGGAGTTCAAGTCTGGCAACTGTGGTGGCGACTGCAACTGGTTTTTCAGATTATAGAGCAACCACAGCTTCACAGTATGCGAAGTGTGCTTTGGGTCATTATGCTGCTGGAACCAGAAGTCAGCAGCCAACCCTAATTTTTCCCTGCTTTCCTGCAAATTGTCTTTTAAGACTTGTAAATAAGCCTTGTGGTTCATAATGGAATCAATAAAAACGAGATTGCCAACTCCATTTGCCGCCATGCAGCCCCGTACCATCACTCCGCCACTACCGTGATTAACAGTTGGAGCAAGGTTTTGCACATCGAAGGCTGAACCGCTTTATGCCGCACTAGTTTTCGGCCTTTTATGCCAAAAGTGCAGAATTTGCTCTCGTCACTAAATAAAACATTATTCCAGAAAGCTGCAGGTCCCTGCGAAATTCAAAAGACAAAAAAGCGGACAACCTAATATATATGTATGTAGATAGTCCTATTCAAATAAAGTTAGTGCGCCAGAAAATATGCAAAGTACCAAGTGGGGTAATACAATGAACTATGCAGCTAAAATGTTATATTTATTTTTACTGATTTGCTTGAAAAATTATTGTTCATTTATTTACATATGTACATATATACTATATTTGCGTTATCTTTTCTGGAAAGGTTGTGTATTTATTTATATTTTTTATATATTCGAAAGGAATTCTAAAAGAGTCGAACGATTTCTATAAATATTTAAAAATATTTTATATTGCCCATTGAAAGAGAAAATCTTTTATCTTGAGTTGAACTCATCAGAAATATTTATGTTTGACATTCCTGCAATTCCGATGGTAGTAACACAATTTCTTTAACGAGCGCGTTAAGCGCAAACAAAGGAAAAAGGAAAGGTCGTATATCCTCTTCACATCAAAACAACCGCAAAAGTCAAAGTATTTATTTCGAAAACAAGTAGAAGCATCTGTTATTGGCAAGCCAAAACTTTAGGTGCTAAAAAAGGTATAATTCCACACAGGGTCTGCTGTTTGACAGTGATAATATATTTAAATACAAATTCATAAACATAAATATGTAAACGAAACTTAGTATTTGCTTCCACTTCAAACAACGCCCTCAACTGAAGCGCTACGATCCTAACCGAAACGTGTGTTATTTGAACCCCTTTTCTTCTATTGTGTTTTCTCTGCTTCTGTATGACCCTTGTTAGCACCTTTAAGTGGCCGTTGCGTTGTTTGTTTATTTGCAAGGGTTTACTTTATTTGCTCAACTAATGTGAATAAAAATTTATTTGTACTTACCTTTGGTGTTTTGCTTTCTCATTTCCTACCTACATGTTAACTTACTACATAATGTTTTCTTCAAAATTTGTTTGCTTTCTTACACCGAGTTTTCTTTCGTGGCTGTATTTGTTATTTCTTTCTTTTACATTTTAATTCATCGTTATTTTATGCCTGGGTTTTCGGAAATAACAGTCTCGTAAGTCACGTGCGCATTTAGGATTGTTCTAAGTATTTCTTCTGACAAATGTCTTGAAATTGCGCGATTAATTTCGTGATTTCTCGCTTAAGGGCTTCGTAAAAGCCACTTGAGTCTGTTAAATAATCTGTCATTTATTGTACCCAGGAGCGCATACAGAAATTGAACACCTCATTGGTGGACAAAGACAAAATACAACAACTCAGTGGAATGGGGATCCCAATTGATATGATTCCAGTTTAAAGTTTAAGTTTACTAATCTTCCACCGATTTGACTTGAAATATAATTTGGTGCTTTGTAATCGCTGAGGCTGTATT